CCAAAAACTGCAAAATCACCTTTTCAATTCACATTTCTCTCTGACACTGACCGAAGAAAACATGACATAATAGAAGATCCTAAAATTGGGTGAGATCTCTCGGAATCTCAGAACCGAGAGTTTGACAGAGAAGGGAAAGCAGGAAAGATATATTATCTAAGTTTGGAAAATAAATATTTTTCAGGAAAGGTTGAAAAGAGAATTCAAAATCAAATTCAATACCCCGTATAGGCTGCCTTCCATCTCTGCTTAAGAACTGAATAATGCAGGTGAGTCATCCAAGAGTCCAGCACCTGTGAAGACCTGACTCTTGGGGTAGAGACTTGAGTCTGAACTTCCTACTCTATGCTGGTTTTAAAAACGTGTAAGTCTTTATTCCCACAGTAGCTAGTACAAAACCAAACACATAGTCAAGTCTTATTGAAGGAATGAATTCAAGGAAAAGCAACCATTGCGTGGACCCCATCCTTGTTCTTTTCAGAGTTCAAATAGAATTCCTTTTCTGTGCGTGAGGTTTAATTGTGGAGAACTTTGGGCTAGCGTTGTTTTGCAAACCACCATCTACAACTCTACATTTTTTGTGGTACTGTTGAAAAATAAAAAACAAGCCATCGCAGTGGCTCATGGCTGTAATTCTAGCACTCTGGGAGGCTGAGGCAGAACAATCACTTGCACTCAGGAGTTAGAGACCAGCCTGAGCAAGAGCAAGACCCATCTCTACTAAAAATGGGGGGGAGGGGGAAGTTAGCTGGACATGGTGGTGCATGCCTGAAGTCCCAGCTACTGAAGAGACTGAGGCAGGAGGATCACTTGAGCCCCAGAGTTTGTGGTTGCTGTGAGCTATGATGATGCCACTGCACTCTAGAGAGGGCTACAGAGTGAGATTCTATCTCCGGGGCGGAGGGGGGGGGGAAGAATAAAAAGAAAAAGCAAAGCTTTGGTCTGAAAAGCTCTGATTCTCATTCGCATTACTTTTGTAATGTGGGAAAGAATGTTTATTCTATCAGCTTCCTTTTTCTCTAAAATTAGCAATTACGTGGTCTCTTACATCTTGTTCCACTCTAAAATTCTATAAATCTGAGTCTGGGATTGCAAGCCTGCCTCCAAAATAATGACAGAGATAAGTGACTGGGAAGTATGAGAAGAAAGGGAAATCATACATTCTTTATGAGAAAATTTCATCTAAAACTCTTCCTCTCTGTTCACATGTAAATTATAGATACTCTTTAATTAAGCCATACCTGTTCTTATAAACGCCAAACACATGTCCAGTTTTAAAGTGTCGTGGAAACTACATTGCATTCTTTCCGATATAATAACATCTTCACTGAGCAATCCGCATACTATGCTACTCACTCATTTAAAGTGATACACTTCAGTGATCTTTAATATGCGCTATTCATCATTTGCAACTATCGCCGCTATCTAAGTTTAGATCATTTTTATCATCCCCCGAAGGAACTTTGTATTCGTTAGCACCCTTTCCCCTTCCAGCCCTAGACAACCACGAATCCATTTTCGGTCTCCCTGGTTTACATGTTCTAGATATCGCCTGTACATGGAACCATGCAACATGTGGCCTTTTGTGAGTGACTTCTTTCACACAGGATAATGTTTTCTAGGTTTATCCATGTTATAGCATGCGTTGGTCCTTCCTTTATTTTTATTGCTTAGTTCAGATTCTGTGACTGTTTTTAAATTGTGTTGGTGTTGTTGTTGTTCCATCCTATTTTATTTCATTGCATTCACTATATGGCTGTATGATGAATTCTGTGCTATCTTTTGATTACTGAGTTCTTTATATATTCTAGATATATGAGATCTGACAATTAAGTTTAAGGCATGTTACCCTGTGCTTACATTGGCAGCATTGTACAAACAGCTTGGTAACGCTTCATAGCCTTATCGGTGGTTCACAGTTGTGTTTGTGTCGATGTGTGAGGGTGTCTTGCTGAGTGGCATTCATTATTATTGAACATTTTCGTGTGCCATGGCGAGAATGTCAGACCTTTTGTTAGAGCAACAAACAAACATTAAATTTCTTGTTAAACTTGGCAAGAGTGGAAGTAAAATCAGGCACATGTTAGTCCAAGTTTGTGGGGGAAATGCCATGAAGAAAACAGCAGTGTACACCAATGGATTAAATGTGTTTCTGAGGGGAGAGAAAGCATCACTGATGAAGAGAGCTCAGGGCGACCAGTAAGGAGCATGACTGATGAAAACATTGTAAAAATTCATTGAATTGTGTGTTGAAAGTACTAGCCGCCTGTGGGAAGCATAGCAGACCGAGTAAACATGGATAGAGAAATAGGAAAATCTTAACTGGAAATCTTGGCCAATAGTTTGTGGCTTTTGCATCATGACAATACCCCAGCTCACCTGGCACTGTCTATGAGCAAGTTTTTAGCCAGTAAACAAATAACTGTATGGTAACACTCTCCCCCACTGACCTCATCTTGCCCCCAATAACTTTTTTCTTTACCCAGAGGTAAAGGAAATATTGAAAGGAAGATATTTTGATGACATTCAGGACATCAAGGGTAATATGACAACAGCTTTGAGGGCCATTCCAGAAGAATAGTTCCAAAGTTGCTTTGAAGGACGGACTAGGTACTGGTATTAGTGCATAGCTTTCCAAGGGAAGTGCTTCAGAGCGACCACAGTGATATTCAGCAACAAGGTATGGAGCACTAGAAATAGGATGAGCTTGCAAATTTAATTGTCCAACCTCATAAATCCCTAATCAGATATATGATTTGCAAAATTTTTCTCCCATTTTATATTCTCTTTTGGAATGCAACGTTTTAAAAACTGCTATGAAGGAAAAGAAGAGAGTGCTGAGAATGACAGGAAGACCTACTTTAGCCTGGGAAGGAGGAGTCAGGGAATTACCCTGACACATGTAGAGGATTTGATGGGGCCATCTACAGGAGGAGGGGAGCATTGCAGGCAGAGGGAACAGCAGGTGCAAAGGCCATGAAAGAATTTGCCGGGTTTAAAGAAGGGTAGGAAGGCCAGTGAGTAGAAGAAAGTCAGTAAGTGAGGTGGAGAAGGGTAGGAGACAAAACTTTGGAGGAAGGTAGAGCCGGTTCACATAGGACCTTGCAGGCCACATTAAGGAGTATGGATTTTATTCAGGGAGCAGCAATGGTTTTGACAATTTCAGCAGAGGATATGGCATAATTTGATATGAACTTTAAGATCATGCCGGCTTTTTCATGAAGACTGATGTGTGGAAGTAAGGTAGAAATAGACCCACGATGACCCCTTAGAGGCTTTTTCAATTGCTAGAGTGAGCGATGATGGCAGCTTAGACTAAGATGGGGCAGTGGGAAACCAGTGAGGCGAATGGATTTGGGATTATTTGAGAGATATAGTGTGTAAGAGTTAAAAGTGTGTTTTCTAAGGCAAATCATCTTTTTTGTGCCACCATTTCCTTAGTAGTATATAGTGGAATGTAAATAATAATAGGTGTCATCTCGTGGAGTTGTTAGGAAATTTTAGCAATTTAATAGTGCTGTACATGCATCACAGGAGTACCTGGCACATAGAGAACGCTTTACTAAGTGCTGTATTTTTTTTACTACTTAAGTGGACAGGTGTTGTTGATGGTTTGGATAGGGAATAGGAGGGAGGTATCAAAGATAATTGCCAGGTTTCTGGCTTGAGTACTAAGTGGTTGTTGGCGCTGGTGCCTCAGACGGAGGAAACAGGAGAGAAGCAGGGTCTGAGGGGAAGATCAAGAGTTTTGTCTTGAATCTGTTTGCTCAGATATGTTTAAGAGATATCCAAGTAGAGTTGTCAGGCAGCTGGAATTCAGAGTAGTGTCCTGAGCCAGAGATAGAGCTTTTATTCAAGATCAGACTAAAATATACTAGATAAATTTTAAAAACAGTCAGCACTTAAAAATAATTTAGCCTTGTCCTAAACCGGACAATAGGACATCAGAACGATTCAATGAACCCGGCTTTCTTTGGAGAAGTGGAGGACGTAGCAAAGCAAGTCCACGCTGTCACCAAATAAACCAACTTTTGAACTTCACTCCTCCATTTACTGCTTGGGTGACCATAGTGACACGTGTTGGCAATAAATTCAGTGGGTTAGGGGGAGGAATCATCGCCAGCTCCCAGGTCTCTGCTTGAGTACGGCGCAGTTTGTAGAGCCAGTTCCTGGGATGGAGGGAAGTGGCCAGAAGTGTGTTTCTCATAGCCTCAGCTTTCTCAGGTAAATATTAATAGATCTTCTTCTCAGTGTGAGGACCGGAAGGTACGCACATGCCTAGCACATAGTACAGGCTCAGTGATGTTTTCTTGTATGACTTTGGGCTCTCCTTCCCAACTCCGCTGTACACCTCTCCACCAACTTGCCTAGGTCTGCCTCCGTTTGTAGATGAAGATGTAGGAAGACAGCCGTGAGGTGACAGAGCTGGGCCACGGCTAGGGCGGCGGAGTGAGAAACTTGCTTTGGGTACCAAATTAAAGGGGGTGCCAAAAACCTAAATAATCAAAGCAAATATTATTTTAATGCACTATTTTCAAAAAGTCAGAATCAATGCAACATTATTCAGGGTGGAAAAAAATGTTAATTTTTAAATAAAAGACAGGCTCAGTATTACCGATTTCTCCTTTTTTCTCAAGCTCTACCACTTGGTGCAGCCTTGAGACAAGCTAAAAGTGAAGGGGGGAAAAAGCTTTCTCCCCAGCCCCTAAGACTCTTGCTTCGCCTGTAGTTGGCAGCTGAGGCTAGTTCTTAGCCCTGGGCAATGCAGTCACGTGTAGATAATAAAGACTTCAGACTGTGTTCTGACCTCTGTGATATTAGGCACACTTGAAATTGGGGCTGGGGCTCCTACCAGCTCAGCCTCCAATGCTCTTCCATTAGTTGCTATGTGGGAGTTGCAGCAAGGTTGCCCACCTCGCCCCACCTCAGTAAAGCCAGACACCATGACCCCTGGAACTGTTGAGCAAACACAAAGTGAAATGCTCTATTAAAGGCTGGGGTTTAAAGGTCAGCTTTGTGCTTATCGGCTGCAAGTCTAATTTGCTCACTCAATGATTCTCAAAGAGATTTGTGCATGCAACATGGACTGAGAAAATGAATGTGTCTGTTCTGCGTGAGGACCTGTTTGCTTTCCAAGGAGCAGTCACTGCCAAAAGGAGAACGGCAGGTCAGGAGCAGCAGCAGATGTATGGAGGTCCCCATGCCAGAAGTGCTGTCCTCTGATTCTGACTTAGAAAGGTAAAGGTACATGTAATGGTTTGTGGCTTCCAGCTCTTTCCCATGAAAATCAGAAAATCTCCAACTGAAATGATTTAGCCATTTAGACATTGTTAGCAGGTGGATAATGAATAAGTAAAGGACAGGTTCATCGTGAAAGCTCATTTCTATCGTGAAGAAATCAATTGTGGAATTTGGAGCTTGTGGGTCACCTTTCCTATAACAAAAGTTGGGTGTAGGAAGCCAATTTTTTCAAAGTATTTTTTTATTTCAGTTTAAAGAAAAAAAAGTCCTAATTTTTAGAACATTTTGCTGCAAGACTATTATAGCAGACTTTTGTCCTAATTTTTAGAACATTTTGCTGCCAATATAGCAGACCATTACAATGTACATTTATGAATGATTTGGGGTTTTTTATTTCAGATTTTTTATTTCTCTCCCCTCCCTGCCTCCTTCCTCCCTCCAGTTTGAATTCAATTAATATAAAGGTACAAATGTCTAGGTTATACTGTTTGCATTTCTTAGGTAAAGTTCAAGTTGCAATTGAGCCCTTCACACAGGAGGTGTGCCAAATACTCTTACATTATGTCCGTTAGGTGAGAGCACACCAATCCTCCTCCTTCCCTCCCTCCCTCCATCTTCCCCCCAATTTGAATTAAATTGAGTTTTTCTCTTGGGGTGGGTGTATAGTTATTCATTTCCTTCATATTAGTTTCAAATTAGTATTGAATACATTGGATACTTGCTTTTTCATTCTTGTGATACTTTACCAAGGGAACGATTTTGAAACAATAATGAATAAAGAGGAAAAAAAAAAACATGGATTAAGTCCTTCGCTGCTACTGCACACTAATTACATGTCAATGGCACTTTAAGATTGCAACATTTTGCTTGGTGACCTTCATAACCAACCATGACTGTATGTACCTTAATCTCTCTCAAAAAAAGCTGAGCCTGCTATAAATTGGTAAGGTGTTGTTTTTTTTTTTTAACCCAGTTTTTCATTTACCTAGACTTTATAGCTCCCGGTTTAATTTGTACAGAAGGATTAAGCTCATTATTACACAACTCAGAAACCTAGTTTTGAGTTTTCAGGAACAATAAGTACAAGGATTGTCACGAACTGAGACTGAAAGAACTTATAGATAGATCGGATGGTGCATTGTTAAAGAGTAAAAGTAAATAATGCGGGGGGGGGCGCGGGGAGTGTAGAATATGTATGCAGAAGGAAGAGAATGGCACTTTTTGTAAGGAGGTATCTTTCAGACTTTGAAACTCACCACTGAAAGTTCAGAAAGATTAAATGTCAGGACAAATTGTCTTTTGCGAGGGTTGCCAGCGTGTAAGTATGAGGCCTGCTGTAGATCGTGTGGTCCAGGTACTGGCCCTTCCACAGCAGTCTCTTCTTGAGTGTTTAATCATTATGGCCCAAGAATGAATGAACACAAAGACTTTTCAGCCTGTGAATGAATATCACCGGGTCCCTGAGCTACAGATGTACAATATAGCTATATATCTTTTACTTCTTAAAGAATAAAATAGGATTTTCAGTTGAATAGAGTAAGAATATCAAAAATTAAGTTATGATGCTTTGTTCAAAAGGGTCTGGTTCCCTTCCTTTCCTCCTTCCCGTCCTCCCTGGGTTTTCTCCCTAGCCAACGGCCTCGCTGGCTAACTCCCCTCTTTCTCTCCTCCTTTACTGCCCTCATGTATTCTTAACGATGTTCATTTGAGCGCTTAGATGTTAGATTGCCTTATTCCTATCTCTATCATTATTATTTTTAAAATCAAAGCAGTAAGCCCCACTAAGAACTTAAACGCCAAATTGGTGTCTTTTTTTAGCCTCTTATTATTCATCCACACTTAATCTTTTTTCTCATTATTACGGGTTATTACTAAAACTAGCATTTGTATAGAACATCTTATCAGTGTATTGCCTCCTTTTGAGTTAAGATATTGTCACATATATAGTATTTGGCTAAATGATAAGGCTAATATTCTTTAGATGGGCTTTGCTATTTTGAAAGCTTTTCCCTCATCTCCTCACGTTCTCCATACGTGAACGTTCACAGAATTTGTAGACAAGCATTACGCAGCCAGCCATTAATCTGGCTTTCAGTGTTCAGGAGAGAAAGTCAAAAATTTCACCGCAAATTAGAGCTATTGGACTAAACGTTAGTCTATTAACAAGCAGGAAGAACAATTTAGCTACTTTCTCTGCTGAGCTAATACAAGGTACTGCTGTCCTTGCTCCAGCGGGGTCCTCTGGCGTTACTTGGTTCTGGGAATGTCCTGACAAAATGCCCATTTCTGTCAAGCAGCCATTGAACCTTTCTGAGAGGAGTTAATGTGACAGTGGCGTGACATGTTGCATTTTAATATGCAAGTAACGTGCCTTGATTTCAGAAATGGATCATATATATATATGAACCCATGAAAATGATTGGGAACAGTTGCGAAAGAAGGAAAGTGCATCAGACTGGTACGTGGTGTTCATCATGCTTAGGCTGAAATATGCCTGCACAGAGTTCACGTTCAAGAATTTTAAATCATCTTTCCTAAAGAACTTCTGAGTCCCTTTCGTCCTTTCTTTGTTTTTCACTGACCAGCTTTACAACCACCACTTCCTACCCCTCTGAATAGGCACGTGGCTTCCTCTCATTCCCCCCAGGAAAGTTCAGAGTTCTGTCTTTGCCTTCGGACTCAACCCGTTCCTGCTTTGACTTCCTTCTGTCTCCCATTTGTCCTTGACCTTATTTTGGCTGTTTCGTTTGCCATTCTCTAAGTTCATACCTTTCTGGCCTGCCTTTGTGTGGGCTCCGCCGCCATTTATTTTTAACTGGTGGCACACAGTCCTTCATTGTCATCTGCTGGCTTGCATTCTTATTCCTGTCCAAAGCCAGCTGTGGGTCTTTTTGTTTGTTTGTTTTTGTTTCTCCTGGAAGGGCCTTTCTATGTTTAAATATTACTTTTTATACCCAGGACTTGCCAACTCTTGACCACGTTAACATACATTTAATCTAACAACCTGAGTCTATTGTAAATGTTTAAAGACTAAAGTTTTTATTTTTATATGTTTTGTAACCTCATGGCAGGTGCTTCATGGGTTGTGTGTGTCTCAGTTAAGGAAATGAACTTTAGGTTGTGGCCCTGGCAAGGTGCGAGTCTGTTTTTTTTGTTTGTTTGTTTGTTTTTTATACTTTTATATTTTGTTTTTTTTCTTTTTTTTTTTTTTCTTTTTTTTATTGAATGGTAACTATGTACATTAATGCACTTCTGGGGTACAGTGTGGGGTTTTCACATGCAATCTGAAATACTTCCATCAACTGGTCAACACAGCCTTCATGTCATTTTCTCAGTTACTGCTTTAAAACATTCACATTCTACTCTTAGAAAGATTCACCTGTACCCCTATAAGGTATTAATAGAGACCTGTCTCTTAAGGCTGCTTCTCTATCTGATGGGACAGCCCAGGGCAGGGCCTGCTTATCTGTGTATTTTAGCTTTCCTAATTGATAGCAGTTGTCTCTGGAAAATTGCTTATATCATTACCCAAGGTAATCATTAATATGACCAACATTGTAGATTCATTCTGTTTAACCTTTCTTTGCTGTTGCTTTTCTCAGTGTTAAGCGGTAACCGTTTTTATCATGGAAACTTTAAAAAGATTTTTTAGAGCATTTTAACCAACTTTAACCCCCGACTTGTGGTCCTGTGCGATTATGTTGATTATTTTATATACACAAGTCTTTTTTACAGAGTTCCGAGGTTTTACTTCCATACTTCTGTCTTTTATGATAAATCACCAAGATACCCAGAGAACTCGAGAGAGTCTGACCATATCTGTGCTTGGCACATGTCGGGGGTCAGGGCTTTGCAGATGGGATATGTAGAAAGAAGGCTTTCTAATGCAATGTTCACCCAACTGGTGTCGGGGAAGTTTGAACTATGAGGAGACAAGTAATTGCCTCTTGCCCACCAACAATATTCCTACAGGTCTCAGAGGTAATCATCAAGACCACTTCATTCGATAATTATTTATGAAGTACTGTCCTGCTCATGACAGATTTCTTGCTTTCCTGGAAACTTATAGCAATCCAGCTGGCCAGAAAAAAGCAACTACTCATCTCTTCATAGTTCAAACTCCTGTGATGCTATCTGAGTGACCGCTGAGTCACCAATCCTTATTTCCACATTCCCCCCATTTACAAGTCATTGACCCCTGACACATACCAAGCACAGAAATGTCCAAGCTCTCTCCAGTTCTCTTGGCTTTTGTTGGTGTTTTATCATCCAGTCACTACTCCTCCCTTCCCTCCAAGACCCAGTTCTTAGGGTTTGGGGCCATAATACTTTAAATTACCGTTATGCACAACCACCATAGTTCATTCCACAGAAGAGGGTCATAATGCCACTGATTACTAAGTAGAAGTGAAGGAAAGACGGCCTGGCCCATCATGGTCATACTTCATATAATTTAAAACTGATGGCTGGCCATTGTACTTACCATTAGTATATTAATATGACAAGAGGGAACAGAAGGGATTCCCTTTGAGGTCAGATCCTCCCGTTACTGCAAAGAAGGGCTTACTTAGCACAAGGAAGTCCTCTCCCTAGGTTTACTGCAGGTTCCCCTAGACCTGTCTGAGTTGCTGAGATCATTTTAAGCTAGGAGTTGATTGTTTTTATGGCTAACCCTAGTTAATTGTTACAGAGTTTAGAACATTCAGTAGTACTTTGAAAGGGTTGCTGGGGCTCTTCTCCTGGTAATGCATTATAATTGATAGCAGTCATTATTTGCTTCCAATGTGTTCCTAATTGAATTTGAAAACTGAATGTGTGGTTCTTTGAAATTCTATTGATTTAAGTTGAAAAGTAATTGGAAATGGGAATCTTGTGCTTACTAGTTTCATAACTAAAATGTGCGTTGCTAAGAAGTTTTCATCTACCTTTATTTTTTAATTACTTAATTTCTTATAAAAACAGAGGCAAGAGTTGCATAACTGTGTTCCCTGTGATTA